GAAAAGACGTTATATGGATTGAAACAATCAACTCAGCCATGGTTTGAAAAGTTTACTAAGGCTATGACAATTTTAGAGTACAAACAAAGTAATGGAGATCATACATTCTTTTATTAAGAACTAATTAATATAAAGTTACAATGTTATTGGTATATGTTGATGTCATCACTGTAAGTGCAAATGATTGGAAGGAACAATATGTCTTGACTCAACATTTAACAAAAGAGTTTAAAATAAAAACCTTGAGAGGCTGAATTATTTTTTACAATAGAGGTGGCTCACTCAAAAAAGAGAATTTCATATCTCAACAAAAGTATATCATATATTTTCTCATGGAAGCAGGTAAAATAGCTTCTAAACTTGAGGAAAGTTATATAGATCCAAGCCATAAGTTAGGTAATATGTAAGAAGGTGTAGTGGTGGATAAGGAAATGCGTCAAAGATTGATTGAGAGATTAACTTACCTTTTCCACACAAGGTCAAATATTATATTTGATGTAGGTGTGGTTAGTCAATTTATGCACGATCTAAAGAAAGTTCAAGTTACTTGCAGCTCACAAGATCACCATCATATCATTAATAATAATGTCACATTAACAAAAAGTATTAAAAACTAAAACTTTCAAAATCATATAAATATATAAAAAAAATGACTGATTTAAATAAATGGTTTACGTCGTATTAATCCAACTCAACGATAGTTTAATAGCTGCAAAGATATCCGATCATATATACACAAATTTAAAATCACAATATCTTACTTATTCATTTTTAAAAGATAAAATTCCTATGATCAATTTATTAAAGAGTAAAGTTAAACTAAAATTAATATTTGTCAAAATAGATGGGGAAAAAAGTTCATTTACTCCTATATAGAGTATAGTAATAGTAATATACATTTATCAAAAGCCAAGCACATGTTAAAGAATTGCTGTAGAATCTACCTTCACGTGTACCTAAATTTGAATCCACAGTCATTCAAAAATAAGGCTACATTATGTGACAGAGATCTAAAATATTAACAAATATGCTTTGGGTCTCCACTTCCTTACTCACATACACTACTATTTCCTATATAAAACCACACAAAAGGTTCTGTTACTCGTCCCACCAACAAATATATGTATAATGACAAAACACGCAACATTATTATGATATACTTGATAAAGTATAATATATCTTCAGATAGAACAACAACAACTTGTTGGCTAAAAAGACAATAGGACAATTTACTCAAATTACATGTATGTAGGGTATTAGCTCCTGTGACTCCACGTTTACAATAATCTCAAAACCTGTCTTATATTGGACAAATACATGGGATCTGTCATAAAATTGCCAAAAGTTTTAACATAATTAACACTGTAGACTCACGGCACAAAAAACATATTCAATGACACAACATATTATCATTATTAGATTTGAGAATATAAAAGAAATGAGAAACCATTCAGTTTCAAATCATGAGTAGGTTCCATATAAAAAAAACACCTATCTAGGTTGTGATATTAACATATAACCTTGCTATAGGCTATGATAATAGGATTTCTCTTCTTCTAAAAGCACTTTCATTTTTCACAAAGGTTACTTACTGTTTTCATTCAAATGCAGAAGTAGCTATGACAAATTCTTGTGATTTGCAAATCAAAATTAATGGTCAGCAGATATTTCTTTTGAAAGAGGTATGTATTAGTCTTCTTCTTCAATGATTCTTCCTTTAATCAGAATAAATGATTCTATTTTGTTCATTTGTTTTTTAGAAGATTATATCAAAATACTGTGGAAAGGTGAAGAAAATCTTGAATCATCAAAAGAGAAGATGTCATGTGAAGGAGATGGGAATCAGGGTCAATGATTTTCCTGGAGGCTCAGATGGATTTGAGCTAGTTTCAAGGTTTTGTTACAACAATGGCAAAATACCAATAGATGTATCTAATGTGTCTCTTCTTCATTGTTGTGCTATTTATCTTGGAATGACTGAGGAAGTTTTCGACAACAATCTATTGCAACAAACACAAACTTTTCTTGAGGGAATCCATTACTGGAAATGGAATGACATAGTTTTAAGTCTAGTGAGTTGTGAAATGTTTTATGAATATGCAGATTGTTATGGTCTCTTGGAGAAGATCATTCATGCAGTGTTAATAAAGATTGTGCAAAATTCAGATGCAAACCTCAATACTTCCTTCACCTCTTTATCATCGTCATCACTGTCGTCGTCGTCAACACCGTCTTCACCGGAAAGCAATTATGCCAAGAGATTTTCTTCTTCAACACAAACTACATCAGAAAAAGCCAAGTCGAGTTTGACAAGCAAAGCATGGTGGTTTGAAGATTTGGAAACATTACCACCAAAGATAATTGAGAAACTCTTTCGGTGCATTGAATCATATAAAGATGATAACAACAGTTTAATCTTTACAAGATTTCTGTTGCAATATCTGAAAACAGCTACTCAAACAAGAAACACGGATTACAGAAACAGCAGCGAGTATGCTGCTCTTGCAGAAACAGCTGCTTATGGAGTCATATTTGTTGGTAAGAAAAATTTCTCTTGCAGAGGACTTTTTTGGGTATTAAGGATTGTTTCTAGATTCGGGTTAAGTAAAATTTGCAGAACTGGGCTAGAGAGATTGATTGGTGGGATGCTTGAACAAGCAACACTGGATGATCTTTTGGTGTCAGGGCAAGATATGGGGATCTATTATGATGTTAACTTGGTGATAAGATTGGTTAGACAATTTGTTGGTACCAATGGGTATGATGGAATGTGTTTACAGAAAATGAAAAGGGTTGGTAGATTAATCGACAAGTATTTGAGAGAGATATCACCTGATCAGAATCTCAAGATCTCGAAATTTCTTGGAGTTGCAGAATGTTTGCCTGACACTGCAAGGGATTGCTTTGATGGGATCTACAGAGCCATTGATATCTATCTTGAGGTGAATGCCACTTTCCTTTTTCTATTGCTTTTCATATGCATCATGTTCCTAAAGAATCATAAGAAATTGAAAATAGCAGATGCATATACAACTTGTTTTCCTATTCCTATTGATTTCTTGCATTACCATTTACAGTACCATATTTAACTACTACAATAACATATTGGAACAAATAATGTTTTGCAGTCTCATCCAAATGTCCCATTTGAGGAAAGATCAAGATTGTGTAAATGTCTTAACTACAGTAAACTCAGCTTTGGAGCTAGTAAAGATCTTGCCAAGAACCCCAGAATACCTCCAACGGTTGCAATGCAGGCACTTATTTCTCAACAAACGAAAATTCCAACAACCAACTTTGTAACCGAGAGTCCACGAAAAAGCCATTCGCAAATAGTTCTGTATAATCAAGGTAGCATTGACAGCTTTTCTCAAGAGAAAAAACACATGAAACTAAACCTGGAGACATTGAAATGTAAGACAGTAGAAGTAGAGAAATTAGAAGAAATGAATGGTCAGGTTTCCAATATGTTTAGCCGTAATGTCTTGCTCACTCCTGCTCGTGCTAGAGCCTCGCCAAGATATTGTTGAATACCTTCCTCTTGTGTGTCTATCAGTATCCATTATACACTGGTATTTTATTGTATTGTAAAAAGCTGTATTTTTATTTTTATTTTATATTTTGCTTAGAATTTCAACGTGATAGAAGGAATAGTATAGAAAATATTCCATCATTGTTGATCTTGAACTTCTCGCTTACATGGAAAATATTACTGGATAAAACACAAGAAATATGATCTCTAGAGATAGTTAAGTTTTGATTGACACTGTATTCATGTGCAACAGTAGTTTTTTTTTTTTTGTGTGTCAATAAAAATAAAAACAGATGAAACTTAAAATACACATAGACGGTAATTTAGAGAATGCATGAAGAGCAGGGATAAGTCATAATTGTGTTTCTTCTGCTCATTTGGGGGAAAACAGCTATCTTTGCATCCTAAAGTTGATGGTTAGGCTTTAATTAGAATGGTAGACGGAAAAGAAAATAATGAATACTATAGGAAAGGTAGTTAAAGGAGAAATGGATAATTTATTACTTCTCTTGCTTGGTAGTATCATAAAATAAAAAAAGATACAAAAAGTTGATTTTCCTTTGTTTGTTTCACTGAACATAAGTGAATGAAAATCAAAATCAAAATACAGTATAGCCCACGAAATTAGATCCTTTCCTTCCAAAAGACATACAAGAGTAGGCTCACTGAAAGTTTAACCCCCCCACAAACCCTATCGTTTGCTAACGTTCTACCAAACATAGGACCAACTTTGTCCTTCCAATGTTTTCCTTTCATTCCTCAAAAGACATATCAAACAAAGCCTAGCTAAATCAATAGACCCGTAACAAATTAGAAACAATGCAATGATGATCACCTAAAAAGGAAAAAGTTTTATTATAGGAGTGAGCAAAATAATAGATAATAGAGAGAAGACATTTCCTAATCAAAATTATGTCCTCCTTTTGATAAGTGCCACGTCTAAGATGGATTCTTGTGATCTAGGATTACAAATCCTTTCACCAGTTCCAGTAGATTTCTTTATACGGCTGGATCTTTGCCTATGATTTACACTTTGAATACTCCTCTCCTTAGCATGAGATAATCCTCAGCCAGTGTTATTATCCCGCTGTATAGGATAAAACATATGGCCAACCTTTCTGGAATATCGATGTGAAATATAACTTGTAACACTCCTTTTTCTCTTGTAGCACACAAGAGTAATTTAACCTCATGAAACTGGACCTTCTTGATAATATCATGGATCCGATTTTCGCCATAATTTTAAGTCCAACCAAGAGGTCATATACACTCCATTTGTTTTAGAGCTTTTACTGAATCTGTACCACATCAATTAGCAACACAAATAAATAAAAAATGAAAACAAATGAGAGGGCCGCTGAGTAATAACGATGAGAATGTGTTTACAAAGTTCAGAAGAAAAGATTTTGGTTACCCACAATTAAAAACAGTTATGGGTCACATACTGACATCCTTCTGCAAACACGCTTCATGAATCTACAAAAACTCCAGCCTACAAGTTCAACAAAAAGGCAAAACTAAGTTCAATAAAAAGACTAGAGTTAATGAGTTAATAACCTTAAGGTCCATTTGGTTTAAGAAGATTTTTTCGTTTTTTATATTTTATTTTTACTTTTAGTTACAAAAATGTTTTCGATCTGTTTTAAGTTTTCAAAATATTTGTGTAAGAAATATCGAAAAATGTTGTCTGCAAACAAAGATCTTCATATAAGTTTAATGTCCTTACATCTTTCACTACTATCTTGTCTGAAAAACTCAATCTTGGCAATAACCATTCCAACAAATAGAATGAGGAGTTCTGACAGTAACTTGTAACAGAATGATCATCTGAAAAGGGAATATGCTGGAATCATGCTGATCGCTAAAAGCAATTGACAATTGTAATTAGTAGCAATGGAGTTCAAACCTGAAGAACGTATGAGTATTCTGTGTGTAACAAAGGACTGTCACAGATGAAAGGACCAACACCAAATTAGAAATTTTTATACAGGAAAAAAAGTTTGCATATTAGAAAAATACAAAACAGAACAGGCTTTGGAAACAGGCTTTTGCCCACCCGATCAAAAAAGGAACTATAGCAACTTCACAATTAGATTTTAGAACACAACCACTTTTTAGAGACAAATTCAACCAAAATTATAGATTCTTTCTGTAAATAACTGCTTTACATCTCCAAATAGTTAGACTGACATATTCGAGATGGATGATAAATGGAAGAAAAAAAACCATGTTTAAGAATTGTCATTTGCAAATATAAAAATTATGATAATAAACAGAAACGTAATTGAACACACAATTCCTATTAGAATTTATCGAAAGACATGTCTACAATAAAATAAAGATAACTATGGTACTGTTCCAGGATAAAATTCTGCCAAAACATGTTCCTAAATATTCAGTTTATAATGTATGTTTTTCTGCTATTTAATAGAAGGCATCAGCTTAATTTTATGAATATTAGGAAAAAAAATATCAGATCATTACTCTCACTTTCTCCATTTCTCTTACCTCTATCTCTCTCTCTGCTACTATTAGGGCCTAATGTTCATCAACTTTCTATGTATATTTTTAATAATACTTTACATATAATACCATTTTTGAACCTTCCCCAAACAAATTAAGATCTTACCAGAGTTGGTCTGTGAATTACACATGATGTCTTTGATATAAAGTTGACAAAATCTTTACCTGCCAGACAGAAGGCATGTACTCACGATACTCAACATGTTGACCGTTTCTTGTTGCATTTCTCGAACTTCTTTCTTCCCAACTATTTTTCATGAAACTTCTGTAATAGGGTATCATAATACATAAAATCAGGAAATATATTATTATAGAGACTATAACAGAAAATAATGTCTTAATCAAAGAGTTTCCAAATGACAACAAAAAATTAACCATTGCAAATGCAAAGGACCTAACCAATCACTACTAAACCATAAAGGCTAATCAGGATTAACTAAATTGTCAACACTCGAGAGAGAAAGAGAAAATACGGGCACAGAAATAGTGGTGTTACTGCGTTAGAGTAATGTACGCCTAGAGTAATTGATCAACTAAAATACAGCAATTGATCAACCAAAATGAATCCCCTATTAACCACCTATGAAATAAGACAACTCTTCCCCAAATCACAGTTCCCCTAAATAGTTTTCCTACCCTTCGCATGGTGGAAGAAGATTTTTTTATCAAAATCAACCTTGCCCCAAATAAAGATATTATCTCTTTCTTCATACAATATCACAGGTAGGATTCAAAAGCTTCTCAAGTTTCTCTATAATCTGGATACTGAAAGAAACAAGTTTGAGTTTCTATAACCATTATAGAACTCACCCTTTGACATCAACTGAAGCACTGGATTGTTTATTCCAAAAAATCACTGACTTTGTAGCTATAACAAGCATTGGATGCACATGAAGAAGCTTTTTAATATCCTGAACTACGGCTTCTGACACACTTTGAAGAAAAAGCTTTTTCCTGCATCACATAACACCTGAAAGTTCAAATCAACATATATATGGACCAATGTTACATATGTATTCTAATACTAAGAGAACCACCGGTCAATATTCATTTTCTCTTTGCTTCTAGTCTAAGTTCTCATTCTTCCATAAAAAAAGCCAGAGAGGGACAAGTCAATCAATAGAGAATGGAGTGAAAAAGACACGTGCCATCTTCTAGAAAATATCAACATGAGTATCACTTACCTGCTGTTTTCTTTTAGAGGCAATAACATAGATGCACGATCCATCCAATGAAAAGCTCCAATGCTGAAAAATACAGTTTGATCAGTCAAACTTACTAGTTATTGTATCAGATCATATTTTAAGCAACAGTGTTCAAATAAACAGTTGGATAAAATCATACAGTAGGCTAGTGATAATAGAAAAGTATAATTTATTCTACTTTCTGATGGGGTCCTTTTGAATCATTGTGGTTCTAGCATGAATCTGGGTTATCTTTCCTATAAATATTCATAGAGTTTTCGTGTCATTTGATTTTTGTAGCTAATCACACCTAGTGAAAAAAGGATCTCATTTTGTTGTTGCTTTTATTCATCGGGTCGTCAACAGAAAATACTATCAATAACAAATAAAAAATAACAATGACAGCTCTCTAAATCTAATTGTTATTAACATTGTAAATGGGTGGAATTCGCAAGAAGACTTTATTGTTCGCAGTAAGGTGACATATTTAATAACATGACAATGACAGCTCTTAACCCTTTTCTTATATTTTGGTAGAAAATCACACCTAAACTTTGCAAATTAGAAACATAACCAGATTCATTACACAATATCATATCAAACTACTACTTTGATAATTCCCATCTACTAAAGATTTCTAAACCTTCCACCATACATTCAATATAAAGGAAGAAAAAACCAACCTGTCAATCAAGAGCAAGTGAACACTAACCCCGTGCGCTTCTTTCTCCTTATCCAAACGCCAATTCAATGTCTATTATAGAATAAAAGGAATAAATGCATAGATAGAAGTTTAAAATTGTTAGATTAGTTAGTTTGCATTATGTTCCTTCTAGAGAAAATACTAACTTTAATAAAAAAATCTCTAGTTAGACACTTGAACTTTCCGTGTTTGGATAAAAAAAACTAAATTAAACGCATAAGTACAAATTGTTTCATTAACTGAGTCAAATTATTTTCAACACGGAGCTAATAGATTGGAGGCAGATGCAACCTCCTCCTCCTCCTCTTACCTTGAGAGTCTGAAGAAATTGAAAACTATCGGAACAACGAACATACAAAAAACGAGTCATACACAAATCAAATAACGATTTATCATAATCTCCACTATCTTCCCCTGTTCCAACACAGAAAAATAGATAAATATCCATAACAAAACACAGTAATAAACTCAAGAATGGAAAATTATTACCGTAAGGTTCCATGATGCGATGAAGAAGCAAGTGAGAGAAACGAGTGATATCAAATCGAGAATCAAGGTCAATAAAGAGTACCAAATGGTCAAGTCCACCATAGTGTATTCCATTCCAGTGTTTAGGGAGAATGCAAGTGATTGCGGTTTGAATGAGAATTTGAGTTTTGGCGGAAGGAGAGGGACCGACGAGTTCGAGGACGTTACCGACGCGGAGAGGGACTCTGTGAAGCGGCGGAGGAAGAATGAAAGGTCGGACCCTCCAAACGCGTTTCAGCATCTCACCGCCAGTTTCGTCTCCCTTTATCCAGCTTTCGATTTCTTCTCGATCTTTCTTCTTCATTTTTATGCTTTTTTTTTGTTTGAATTTGAACTCAGTAACTTTTCTAGGAAGCTGCATCAAATATGTAATTTTTATTTATTTATTTATTTTTATGTGAAATTAGAATAAATATATATTTAATATTACGAATAATACTACGATATGGTTTAACAAAGTGTTTGAAGTTTTTTTTGATAGATAAAGTGTTTCAAGTTTTTAACTATTTCAAAAGTTGTATCAAACACTAAAAAACGCGCTTAATAAATACATATTATGAGTTTTCTTCAATTACACATCCTTGAAGATAGAAAATTATGCAATAATATTAGTGAGTTGTTACACTTATGAAAATCGGTTAGAAGGTAGTTAGAAAAATGGTTATGTAAGAGATGGTTTGTTATCTCATAACCACACTAGTCTTCAAGCCTATAAATATAGAGTTGCTACTTGTGAAATGAGTTAATCAAGAAATGCATTGAATATTGTAGAATATGAATTAGAGATTCTCTTCAGTGAAGTTTCAATTGAGTTATAACATTAATCTCAAGTGTGGTTTATCGATTCAGGTGTCTCACATCACCTCATTTGTTTTGTTTTTTGTATTCAAAATAAGTCCTCATATGTAGGTAGTGATAGAGTGCAAATTGATAATGTTCAGAGTGCCCATTCAATATGTGGGGTCTTCTTGATATGTACCTCTGACTTCTCCTCATACCACACTTTGGCTCAAGCATATTTTACATGTATCTGGAATTACTCGTAATTTACTGTCAGTCTCTAATTTTGCAAAGGACAATTAAGTTATCTTTAAATTTTGTGTTAACAAATGCTTTGTGAAATCTCAAATTTCTAATCAAGTTGTTCTTCAAGATACGAACCCCATGCTAATGACCCTCCAACACTTCAAGAGGAGTTGATGGAGAGGGATAGATTGCTGCAGCAGTTGAAAGTTCAATTAGAGAGGGCTCAGCAATATATGAAAAAACAAGCTGATAAACATAGACTAGATGTGACCTTACAGGTAGGTGAATTAGTCTTGGTGAAACTCCAGCCATATAGGCAACAATCTGTTGCATTGAGAAAGAATCAGAAGTTGGGAATGAGATACTTTGGACCATTTGAGATCATAGCACGAGTAGGAGAAGTTGCCTATAAGCTCAAGCTACCTGAACATGCCAAAATCCATCCTGTTTTTCACATATCTCAGCTAAAGCCATTCAAAGGTGTGCCTCAAAATCAATACATGCCTTTACCACTCACCATGTCTGAAAATGGACCCATCATACAACCCAGAGAGGTATTACAAGCTCGTACCATAGTCAAAGGTAATCAGGAAATTCATCAGGTTCTAGTCCAGTGGGATCAACATACAGCATCTGAAGCAACGTGGGAAGACGTTGATGACTTGCAGAAGAAGTTTCCTTCCTACAACCTTGAGGACAAGGTTGTGTTTAATGGGGATGGTATTGTAATGAGACCAAACAATAGGATCCTTCTAGAAACAGCAGATGAGTCAACAAATTTGTTAGAGGACCCACAAAACATGGAAGAAAAGAATGATTCTATCACTAGTGGTGGGAGGTTACCGCGCAGAGGAGAGAGAGCGAGAAAACCGCACAGCATGTGGAAGGAATTTGTGAAACCATGATGCCAGCTACATATAGTGTACTAGGGGAATAATTTATGTTATGTGATTTGTAGGATTGTTATTCTTCTCCCTCAAATTCTCTTTTCACATTTGGGTCCTTGTACGCCGACTATTTGCTAAAAGTTCAATTAGAAAGTTATTTTCTCTTCCTCATTTTTTTACTATACTGTCAGTACTGTTTCATTGGTGCTTTCATCAACCATGGCCGCTCCACAATACAAAGAGATGCAAGATGATATCAAGCGCAATACAGAGGAGATGAGGCTGTTTCAGACTGAAATCCTTGAGCGTATGGAAAGACTAGAAGTTGGTAACGCATCAAAGTTTGATGAGATTCACACAGCGCTTGACATCCTCATCCAACAAACACCGTCGAAGCAACACCATGGTACAGAACTCAACAGCAGACCTCTATTTCAGGTGAGAAATATCAAACTCGAGTTTCCTCGTTTTGACGGCACTAACGTACATGAATGGATCTTTCGTGCTGAGCAGTTTTTTGGGTATTATGATACACCTGATCATGATAGGTTAACTATTGCATCTGTGCATCTGGATAAAGATGTGGTTCCTTGGTTTCAAATGGTTCAACGTTCTAATCCGTTTCATTCTTGGATAGAATTTACTCGTGCTTTAGAACTGGATTTTGGTCCATCCATATATGAATGCCCTCGTGCTACCTTGTTTAAATTGAATCAAACAGGAACTGTTTCTGAATATTATCTCCAGTTTACAGCATTAGCTAATAGAGTTTATGGTTTAAGTAACGACACCCTAATTGATTGCTTCATAAGTGGCCTCAATACTAAGATTCGTCGCGATGTGTTAATCCATACACCCACCTCCATCGTAAAAGCAGTATCTCTAGCCAAAGTATATGAGGAAAAATACACTCAAACAACCAAACCACAAAGAAACAGCCCAAACGCATACTACAAACCACCCTTCAATTCACCCAAACCAGAAAATAGCCAAAAAAACACAACCCCCATCCTCAACACACCCCCCACGAGACCTATGAGCCAATTCCAAAAGAATCCCAATATCAAACGCATATCCCCTGCAGAGATGCAACTTAGAAGAGACAAGGGCCTTTGTTATTGGTGTGATGATAAGTTCTCTTTCACTCATAAATGCCCCAACAGACAATTAATGTTGCTCCACTATGATGATTCTGAAGAAGAACATATCACTGTTGGGAATGAGACACCAATTGATGTATCCACTGAAAACTTGTACCAACATCAACCTCAACACCATTTATCCTTGAATGCCATGAAATGGGATTCCAACTTGGGTGTGCTTAGATTCTCTGGTTTAATTGGAAACATCAAGGTGCAAGTGCTAATTGATGGAGGCAGTTCAGATAACTTCTTGCAACCTCGGATAGCTAAATTTTTGAAGATACCTATTGAACCAGGCCCGGTATTCAGAGTGCTAGTAGGCAATGGTGACATGATGACTGCGGAAGGGGTCATTCAGGATTTACCATTGAATATACAAGGAAATGAGTTGAAAGTTCTTGTATTCTTACTACCAGTAGTCGGGGCAGATGTGATATTGGGAGCAGCTTGGCTAGCTACTTTAGGACCACATGTAGCTGATTATGCTTCACTTACATTGAAATTTTTTTTCAATAGTAAGTTTGTGACATTAGAAGGTGAAAGAGCTCCCAAACCTGAAGTAGCACAATTACACCATTTCAAGAGACTCTATAGTACTGATGCTATAGCGGAATGTTTTACAATCCAATGGCAAAAAAATTATACTGCTGAAGATGTTTGGAAGGAGTTACCTACCAATATTGACCCTGAGATGGCCATATTACTCCACACTTACAAAAGTCTGTTTCAACAACCAACTACATTGCCACCTAACAGAGCACACAATCACCATATTCCATTGATGGAAGGCTTTGATCCTGTCAAGGTTAAACCATACAGATATCCACACAGCCAGAAGACTCAAATTGAACACATGGTACAGGAAATGCTACAGCAAGGGATTATACAACCAAGTACAAGTCCATTTTCTTCACCAATTATTTTAGTGAAAAAGAAAGATGGTACATGGAGGTTCTGCACTGACTATAGAGCTTTAAATGCTATAACTATCAAGGATTCATTCCTGATTCCCACAGTTGATGAGCTATTAGATGAGCTCTTTGGAGCTGGGTATTTTTCAAAGTTGGATCTCAGGTCTGGTTATCATCAAATATTGCTACAACCGGAAGATAGACACAAAACAGCTTTCAGGACACACCAAGGCCACTATGAATGGTTGGTCTTGTCGTTTGGTTTAACCAATGCACCAGCAACATTCCAGAGCCTCATGAATCACATTTTTCAGCATGCTTTGAGGAAATATGTGTTAGTATTTTTTGATGACATACTAGTCTATAGCCCGACATGGAAGGAGCATTTGAATCATTTAGATAATGTATTAGGCATACTGCAAGCCAATACAATGTTTGTCAAACTGTCTAAGTGTTCCTTTGGGGTCTCAGAGATTGAGTACCTTGGACATGTGGTAACTGGACAGGGTGTTTCCATGGACAATGACAAAATACAAGCTGTTCAAGATTGGCCCTTACCTAAAAATGTGAAGCAATTAAGAGGGTTCTTAGGTCTCACGGGCTACTATAGGAGATTTATAAAATCTTATGCTAAGATTGCCGCTCCTTTGACTGATTTACTAAAAAAAGAAAGTTATGTGTGGAATGAACAAGCTGAGACAGCTTTTAATCAATTGAAAATTGTCATGATTTCTGCTCCTGTGTTGGCCTTGCCAAATTTTCAAAAGCCCTTTATTTTAGAAACAGATGCTTCTGGTGTAGGGGTGGGTGCAGTGTTGCATCAAGATGGTCACCCTATTGCTTACTTTTCAAAGAAAATAGTCCCTAGAAATCAAAAGAAATCGGCTTACTTTAGGGAAATGTTAGTTATATCTGAAGCAATAGCTAAGTTCAGACACTATTTGCTCGGACATAGATTCATCATTCGTACCGATCAAAAGAGCTTGAGGAGTTTAATAGATCAGTCTCTACAGACACCAGAGCAACAACAATGGTTACATAAATTCTTGGGGTATGATTTTACCATAGAGTACAAGCCCGACAAAGAAAATCTTGCAGCAGATGCCTTGTCTAGATTAATGGCACTATCATGGTCCGAGCCACAGTGTCAATTTATTCAAGCAATTAAAGAAGGGTTGAAAGCAGATAGCCAATGGAAAGAGGTCATAGATAAATGCATACAGCAGGGAAATGCTTATTTACATTACACTTTCAAAGAAGGCTTACTATATTGGAAGAATAGAATTGTCATCCCTCAACATAAAGAGTTGGTTCAGCAAGTCTTAAATGAATTCCACT